AATTTTTTTTTAATTTTTCCGTCACCTCCACATGGGGTGATTTCATTGGACTCCAGACGTATCTCTACGTATAAGAAAGTTCTTATCTACAATCATAAAGACAAGTTATGATTAACAAATGAGCGGATTTAAGGTATAATTTACAATTATATTCAACAAATTTGCTAAAAATAAATTATATATTTTTTTCTTGATGGCACACTAGTGGTAAATAACCATATTCTGTTTTAAAAGATCAATTTATTATTTTATTAATTATATTTAAAATGCATTAATTAAGTTCATTTTTTTAATAATCATAGTAAAATTATAACAATGATATTCATAATGTAGACTAAAAAATATTTTTGGTCCATGTACTAGAAAACATAAATGATCAATAATTTATCTTAAAGCTTATTATAACTACACATTTATTGGTTTATCTATTATTGCAAAATTATGGGTAAGCTTTCAATCATGCAAGTACCAGTCATGATCATTTTAAAATAAAAAAAGAAAATTAAAAATATGAGACCATATATTTTTGTGTTTTAAATATACGATAAAATTAATATATATTAAATTGTTTGGTAAATAATTTCAAAACTCCTTATCAAAATTAATATATTAAGTTGATGGTATTATGAGACCGTATTTTTGTATTATAAGTTGATGGTATTATGATGAATATCACCTCAATACCATTAATCTCCATTTTTACTGCATTACAGACGTGTACAACAAGAACACAGACACCTCAGTGACCGTCGGTAAGAACGGAGTCAACGTCAACACCGGCAAAGACACCACAGTTAGCGTCGGCAATGATGGGGTCAACGTCAACACCGGCAAAGGCACCACAGTCGACGTCGGTCATGGCGGAGTCAATGTCAACACTGGTAAGTCAAAGCCTGGCGGCACCACCGTTGGGGTCGGAAAAGGCGGAGTCGACGTCCACACCGGCAAAGGCACCTCCGTCAACGTCGGCCACGGAGGCGTCGGCGTCCAAACTGGTCCAAATCACAAGCCCGGCGGCACCACCGTCAACGTCGGCAAGGGCGGCGTTGGCGTCGTAGTGAAACCCAAGGGCAAGCCCGTCGTTGTCCACGTCAGCCCCTTCGTCTACAATTACGCCGCTTCCGATGATCAGTTACACGATGACCCTGCCGCCGC